ATATACATCCATACTCACCTTTACATAATATATTGTCACATATTAAAAGTCTACTTTTGTGTTTAGCAATTGAATTATTTAAGACGAAAAATATTAATTTAATAGAAAAATGAAAATAAATTTGATAAGAATAAAATAAGTAAACCGGTCTAATGATCAGATATTATCTGGATGATGATTAACCGTCAGTTTTCATAAATAATTGTTAAAAATAGTTGTTGAAGAATGAATTAAATAGTTTGAAATATTTATTATGTTTAACATGAAATTCTATATATATTACTTATGAATTTAATTTAATTTGTTAAATTAAAAGTGAATGATATTTATATTATTTGATAAAAATATTAATCATTGAATAAAATTTATTTATATAATTCTCTTTCAGATTTTAAAAGTTAACATAATCTATAAATATTAAATAACTGAAAAATAAATAAGTTACAATAAATTTTCGTTTTTTTAATTATTATTGAATGGATAAAATTCTGTTTTTTAAATAGAATAGGATTTTTTGATAATCAATAATATTTGACATAAATATAAAGATTAATAAATGAATGTATGAATGGAACAATTAATATACATAAGAAAAGTTTTTGCGTTGAAATATCTATCATATATATAGATAAATAAGAAAATAGAAAAATGAATTTTCTTCATTTTGAAAATATTTATTTTATATTGAAATTTTTAATAAAACAGACAAGAAAAAGATAAATAAAATGCTTGAATAATATTTAATTAGTTTTTTTTAATTTTATTTTCAAGATCAATATTAAATAATTTTAAAGATAATTTATTTTCCACAATGTTCTAATGTTTCTTTAATTTTATCAAAATTTGGAATTTTTCCCGCATCAGCAAGTACTTCAGCATATCGAATTATTCCTTGTTTATCAATAACAAAAGCACTTCGTTTTGTAACACCTTTAAGACCAAATTATGGAAAATCTTCATAAAGTGAATCATATTTTCGAGAAACTTCTTTATTAAAATCGGACAATAAATCAAATGGAAGTTTTTGTTCTTCACGAAATTTTCCTAATGTAAACATTGAATCAACCGAAATGGCAATAATTGTTGCATTTAATTTTTCATATTTTTTAATATCATCTCGAGTTGAACATAATTCTTGTGTACATACACC